AGTGGTGAAGCCCGAGAGCCCAAAAGCCTATGTTTAAATCTATTTACAAGCTGTATGACCTTGGACAAGTTAAGCAACCTCTCTTTGTTTTTATTTAAAATCTGTAAAATAGGGGTAATTGTACATACGTTATAAGGGTGTTGTAGAAATTACTCGGGCGTGGAAAACTGCGTGATACATGGTAAGTGTTCAGTGAACTTCAGCTGTTATTAAAAGCTATTGAAGATGGGTCATATGATAATGTTACATGTTACAAAGAGACTGTGTTAGGTGATTTAAAGTCTTCTGTAGAAGTAGGGTTAAAAAAATATTTGGATAATCTATTTTCTGAATGTTTCTTGTTCTCATTTGTCTTTGTGCTGTGTCCATTAAATTTGGTACAGTTAATGGCAACCACCTTGCCTATAAAGCCAAAATATTCTGTAATCAGCTCTGCTATACCAATTTCATGAGCACTCAGCTCCTCAGCCCAGAATACCAATTGTGTAAGTAGTGCAGTGAATTCCAATTCACTTTTGATTGCAATGATCTGAACCAAACATGAAACCTAGTTGATCCAAGATGATTTGGGCTTTACAGTTTTGTGCATTACACTCAAAACAGGAGTATCTTTGAATTTAACATATTCTTCTTTTCAGAAAACAGAATTCTTTTAATTAAAAACGTTTTTAAAAATTTCAGTATGTGTAATTGTTAACACCTGCTATGTGTTACCAACAGATGTTTCTTACTTACCTAAGGGAACTGTTATAATTATTCTATAAGCTTATTGGAATGGCATTTACCAAGATAGTTGGGAAACTTTAGTTGGTGACTTTGTATGTAATATTTGGCATTTCCTTTCATCTCTTCCCCTATTGCTGTCAGTCTCCACACACCCTCCCCCACGCTGGGCCTTCCAAAAGCAAAAATGTCCGTTTGGGGTACCAAAACTTTTACAAGACTGGTCACACATGTTTTAGTCTTTGTAAAAAGTTACTGAAATTAAGTTATATGTATTCTAAAGCATTGTAATTTTTACTTTTAAGTGTTTTAGCAGCTAATCCTTATAATGTTCAGCATGGAAGTCTTTTAAATGTAAAAAGTATACCTTTTAGATAAATAACGTCCTTCTAATAGCTCGGCCTCAAAGGAAGCTAGAGTACAAATGAGAGTTGTCTTTATTTTTCTGACCATTTATAAGGTCATAAGCAATACACTTTCTGAATTCTTCATTTATGATACTAATCACACAATTACCTACAGGCATGTGTTAAATATGACACTGGTTTCAGCCAAATAATGGGCCAATTGCAAACAATGAATAAAGAGAGGCAGCCCCATTTATAACCGCTGTTTCAACAGAGCTCTATTGTAATCATAGTGATCTGAGGGTGACTCATTAATTAATTGATGTTCTTTTTTATTATGTGCTATTGAGTTAATGAGTAATTTGTGTGAGATAATTCTCTGAACACATTGATTACTTGAGATATTTTCTGGGTCCTTCATACCAATGACATGCTGAATAGGTAGAAGACGGTCTTTGCTTTTGTGTGCTCATTATTCCTAGGTTTGAGATGAGTCCAAACCAGTGCAGAGACGCACTGAAATGTTCTGATGTCTGGAGGACCCTAAGTCGGCCCAATAGGAGGCTCCTTGAATGCTGAGGGCAAGGCCTGTCACATAGTAGGTACTCAATAAATGTCAATTGAAATAATGCCTATATTAACATTTTGCTCTCTATTGGCCTTAACTTGCATTAAAATCACATTTAAGAAATATCTATAATGGTGTATTTAAGAAACAGTAGTAATCAAAAGGCTTTTGCTAAAATTGTATTCTGCGCTAATGGCCTATTACAATGAACATGCAGATTGTTTTTGCAACTTGCTGAAGTGAACGCTAAACATGTTTGGCCTATATCATTTCTATGAAATTGTTTAAGTGTCTTTGGTGAGATGAGCTTGCTTTAAGTGATAGTTTTTTAAAAGGAAACCACTTGTGTACAGTATGTTTTACCACAGATATAATTTTCAGCACCCTGTTTCATCGTAGGCACAACATCTCTTCCCTGAAAATGTAGGGTTTAGTTAAGGTGTTTTGTTTTGTTTTAATTCATTATACGGAAAATAGGAAATTTGAAATTGAGTCTGACGACAGCAACACAGTTCCTTTCAGGAAGATCTCTGGAAATTTGTGTAAATCTACAAAATTACACCCAGCAATTTGCTACCTTCATTTTTGACAGTTTTATTTTCCCCACAAAAGTAAATAACAATAAACTACCTTGCTCTGAGATCTTAAATATAACTTTTGGAGAAAGCATTTGAGGTACTTTGTCTAGGCTTGTTATGATTTACCTTTTGAAAGTAAGTGTCCTTACACACTTTATTCTTTTTTTTCAAGCGGACACAATGTACGCTTTCTAGATATTATCTTAGATTTTGCCAATTAAGTGCAATCAAAGAGTATAATACCCCTTTTATTAAACACATAAATCCAGATATAAAAAAATGAATGAAAGAATCCAGCAGATATTTATTAAGCAAGATGAAAGTGAAATTACAAACACAGGGCAGCTTTTAAACTCAGCCAGCACTCTGGTGGAGTGGAGGTGCCTGGTCCTTCATCATAGGCAGCCTCTCTGAGATGCATGTTAGGAAGGGAGCTTTCAAACTGCTTGAGAAATCAAAGCTCTTTTGGAGGGGTCCTCCTGGAGGCATCGGGCAACAGGCTAAGTGACGTCAGGGCTACACAACACAAAGAGGAGAGGTGACGACAATTCAGGGACTTTGCGTAGTCAAGACAATTAGGTTAGTACTTCCGGTCAAAAATGCTACTACTTATGGTAAATTAGCTATAAAATGACCCATTTCTGTCTGGTTTCACAATTTCATGGAGATTAGAGATAATTTAAAGAGATTAAGGCCTTAATCTTTAATCCAGGTGAGTAATTTTGCTTGTAGTAAAAAAGCATAAGAATTAATTCCCGAAGGATTTGGGAAAAGAAAAGGCAATAAAAACTTGTTTGGTCTTTGGGTGCAAGGATAATTGAACAGCTTCCAGGAGCTAAGAGAAGTTTGTTCCCAATTTACAAGTATTTTGACATATTGATAAACATAGGCAAAACCATTTAAATCTAAAAATGATCATTTGAAAAAGATACTGGCAATTACAATTTGACACCCACATGAATTTCAGACACCTCTTAATGGGGGCTCACAGGGCTGGTTGAGAAAAACCACTTTTCATGGATCCCCCGCCCCCCACCACCTTTTGTTGGGTTTGGGTTTTGGTTTTGGCTATGCAAGTATTATCATGAAAAAAATGTAAGGCTTGGAGGCTAAAATAATGGTTACTTTGTGGGCCCCAAATAGCTATTTTTGAAATTCTTTTTTTTTCAGTATATCTCAAATCTGGGGGACATGTGACTTGAACACTCTTAACCATGAAGTATTTGTAAAAATACATATCATTCACTTTTCACAGAACTATTTCTGAAAAATGAAAGGCAATATCCAGATTCACATGCATGTTCATAATAAAGCGTTGTTTTAAAACAAAAATCCACACCAGCATTATTTTCAGTTTAATATTTTGGCCCCAAACCAAGAATTAAGGTATCACATTTAATTTTCATCTGCAATGCATCTATTGGCAGGACAAAATATGTATGCAAATAACACCGGGAAATAATTGTTTCCTATACAAGTGTTCAAAAAAGAAAAGAAAACCCACAGCACTAAATCTGCTCTAGCAAAAATATGCTTCATTGTGCCTGTGTCGGATTAGATTTGTTGAAAAGTAGTTCTATTACAGGGAGCAGAAGCGAAGAAGCAAAGTGTGAGCAACCCAGAAGAAGGGATCATAGTCTTATTTTTATTTCCTTAATTTTAATTGAAATAATCGGTCTCCATAATTTGTTTCTAGAAAGCTTTCTTCTTTATCATCTATCATGTTGGTAAAGGAATAATTTTTCACCTTTAAAACATGGAATGACAGATTTCAGGCTTAAGCGTGATATATATATTCTGAGCGGGTAACTACTTAAAGAAAGCAGTAAGAGTAAGACATGTCAAACTTTTAGTCTTCACTTTTTGAACATTAAAATAAGTGTCAGGTAAATACAGAAAAATATATAATCACCAGTTCTCAGCTCTTTGACAATCCCTTTGTTTCTCTTCTAGAAGATTCTGTGAGCACTATGTTGCTCTGATCAAAAAAGTAAGCTCACCACTCAAATATCATCATAGTTTCAGTACGCATTATCATGGTTTCAGTAGATTTGCACTCAAATCCTTTCAGTGCCAGAAATTTGTCAAGCCATCAAGTTATTAAACCCTTAGCTCTTAGGGAGAAATCTGGGCAAAATTTGTACAAGAAATTTATCATTTTAAAATTATCTCATAATTGTGGTAACACTTGTCTAAAGTAACCCTTTGGAAAAATTTACATGATACCCAAAGGCACTAGTTTACATAAGGGGTAAGTGGCTGAAAAACAAAACAAAACAAAACAAAGCCATTGTGTAGGTAAAGAGCACACACACACACAAAAAGGGTATTAAAAGGATAATTGCTAAGCTTTAAAGTTATTCTAAAAATGGCACTTTTCACGTTGGTATAAAATGAAAGTGCTTTAAGATGAAATTTTTATGCATTTTTAAAGCTGATCTTTAACCCCCTGAAAATCGGGGGTTATAATGAGAACACTGATAGACTCTAAATCATAGTGGCGATAATAGTGGATGTTGCTAAAATGCTTTGTGTGTGTCTTCATTTCTTCTTCTTCTTCTTCTTTTTTTTTAGTATTTTAATGTTGATAGACTTGCTTTATCTATATGTGTATCATTAGGGAGATTTGCTCTTCAATTCTTTACTAGAAAGTTACAGCTCATTTAAAATAGCTGGTAGATACAGAAAGCATAAATATACAGTAAGTTTAAACACTGATTGTACTAAATGCAACAATACAAAGCAAACAGAACACAAATGGTAACACAATAAAACTGTATTACATTTGTGCTTCAAATATTACAATACATTATATACAATAGTCGAAAATAAACATCTCATGCCAAGTGACACAAAAACGAATAGCAAGCAAAAAAATCCAGCAATATGTACATTACTTTTTTCTTTAATAATAAACATTCAACTCTGAACTGGGGCAATTTCACTACATACAGATGCAGTCCGCCTTTTATTCCATATAACCATCCTGCTTTCCTATATCTACGCTATTCAGTAGGTTCCTGTGTCAATTCTTATATACATGTGGAGCAAAAAAGATAAAAGAATGTAGTGCTTTGTATTCTTAATGGGGTGATGTTGATAGATCAGCGAACCTGGGGTGCATAACCTTCTTTCATTAAACCTTCTTCGTAGTCCGTCTGGCAAAGGATCATGTTATTCTTTAGGAAAAATTTGTCTCCAACGCAAAATCTGAAAATATTTTAAAAAATAAAATGTGTTAAGATCACTTCACTCCGATCTATAGATTTGAAGATTTCTTTTCCTTGTAATAATGTCACACAGTAATTCCCTGAATTTGAGAGCTTGGTTTAGATAGTTGCCTTTATTGTCAAAATTAAACCATGTAGGTCATTTAATGAAACACTGCACACAAAATTTGAAATCCTACATTTATATATAAAAAGCCTAGGAAAATCGAGGAAAACACCTTGGGCAGCAGAGGTGATTTTTATCACCACTTTGGAAAGAAAAAAATAACTGATCTATATTTACAGTCATTAAAATAAAAGAAAGAATGATAATAGTATTTCACTGCAGTGATTATGGAAGATTTCACCATTGGCCATTTATTCACTTTATTAAAAAAAAGTAAAACGCATTAATATGTATCCAACAATTAGAAAGTGGCCCATTTTAAAGCTTCCCATTTAAAGCTTCCTTTTACTCTGTTATTAAAATGTGATTAAATTCTAGTAATCTGGAAGTGATTGTTATGAAGGAAAAGTTGTTTTAGCATCAGACTCTGAAGCTGGGCCATATTCCTTTGTTTGTGGCAAGTTCACCAACTATAAAATATTAAATGTCATTTCTTAGCACACTCCCAATTAAACCAAAGGGAGTAACCTGAATGAACTTCTTAATTTTGATGTGATAAATAAACTAGTTTCCAGTAACTAATTATGTATTTTATTCTATAAAGCACCGTTTAATGTGCAAGATTGTAATGTTTTTAATAAGTGCTCTTTTTGTATAATTTCCCAGCGGTGACACTTTGGACACAATTAAGGTCAGAAATAAATGCTTGTGCTGTTTCCAGTACATTTAACAATAAAGTAACTCTGGGGAGATCTGTATATATTTTTAATTGTAACAATTTAACCTTCAAACAGCAGTGTCTAGTAGAGTTGACCCAGTAAAACTACTTGTAATTATACAAGTTGACCTCACTGACCTTTGATAGTGGTCTCTCTTTATCAGATAGTCAATTTCGAATGATGTTCAAGCAGAAATCTTAGTGGATAGATTAAATTGTGTAGTGAAAGCAACCCTTTAATGTTTTGTGAAGTTGAAGGTTTAAATGAGGAGCAGTTGGACTGATTTACATTTGCAAAGATTGGAATGCTAGACAAACAGTGAACCTATTTATTTTCCAACTGGGTAGCTTTGGAAATTTATCCTTATTCTAGCTAAGTAGATAGAGGGGAAAATAGTGTAATAAAAAAAAGTAGATTGAAAAGAATTAGCTTTCCTCTTAAAGGAAGATTGGTCTGTTTATTTGTGGAATTTACTTTTTTTCCCCAGGATTACTGCCTGCTGATGATGTTGATTGAAAGTACAGACTAAGCGCTGATCTTGAAATCCTGGAGTTTGCGGTCAAGGCTATTGGATAGAATGAACATTCAAGTTTGAACCTTGAGTATATCTTTTTTTATTAGTTGCAAACTATAAACTTTAAATATTGTGCTTAAAAAGTGGTGTGTGAGTAAACGAGGTCTTGTAGATTATCCTGATCATTAAGACATGTTGAATAAAAGGAAATATTTCTTCTGTTGGACAGACCTAAGTAGCCAAATTAGATACTTATCTTTTATATGAGATTACATAAAATAACATGTAGGATATATCTGATTACTGTTCAAAACTTTCAATTTATATTACTGTTGAAATTAATTTGAGCTAATAATTATTGCTAATGATAAAGTAGCACATAAAATAAATAAATTCAACAAAAACTCGTGTTCTAGCTAATATTACTGAATTCTTTTTTTTCCTAAAAACCAACTGAATTGGAAATATTCTTTCAACTCCACATTGACTAAAATTTTGCTTCAATTTTCTAACAAGCCCCCAAATTCTATTCACTATCAAAAACAAAATTTTATTTTTAAATATGCTCTACTTGGGGCTTGAACTCACGACCCAGAAATAGTCACAGGCTCTACTGACTGAGCCAGCCAGGCACCCCAAATAAAACCATTTTTTTTGTCATGTGAAGTTATGTCATTCTTACCTTCAGAAGCCTTGAAATTTAGATAATTTTTGTTTGTAGATTAATAAATTCAGGGTAATTATCATGAGAAAAACTTTGAACCAAGAGCCTGGGGATCTAGTCCTGAGCCCTGATGCTACCCAGTGCAAATTATAGGGTTCATTTCCTACTCTCTCTGAGTCAGCTCTGTGTGGGTAAGATAAAGCAGCTGCATCACTGAATTGTAGGAAATACATGAGAGGCAGAGGGGTATATTGCAACAAATAGAGTTCAAATCCGAACCTTCCACTTATGATACTGAAGATGAAACTTCATTTTTTCTTATCTTTAATATAAGTGACTTTTTATTTATTTGTTTACTTATTTATTTTTAAAGATTTTATTTATGTGTTTGAGAGAGAGAGCATGAGCAAGAGAGCACAAGCAGGGAGAGCAAGCAGAGGGAAGGGGAGAAGCAGACTCCCCACTGAGCAGGAAGCCCAATGTGGGGCTCCATCCCAGGACCCTGGGATCATGACGTGAGCCGAAGGCAGACACTTAGCCAACTGAGTCACCCAGGCGCCCCAGTATAAGTGACTTTTTAAAGTGTATGGTGAAGAGTAGAAATGAAGTACGTAAAGCCTTACTTTAATAATTGGAGTGTAGATAATTAAAATAGCCACCTTTTATAAAACACTTACCATGTGCTAATGCTAAGCATGCATATACATGATTACTTTTATTCCTTATGTTCAACTGAGAAAGTAAATATTATTATGGCCTTTTTCAGATGAAAACCTAAGGCTTCCTCCCAGAATTAAAAAAAAAAAAAAACAAAAAAAACCTGCCAATGTTCCTTAACTAGAATGTGTATGATAGAGAAAGGAAGGGGACTCTGGTCTCTTTGGGCTCAAGACCCATGCTTTGCGTGGAAGAAGAAAAGCATAAGGCTATGAAGTTAATACAGGTTTTTTGTATTGCTAATATTCCTTTGCATAACTTTAAAAAAAGTCTACCTACCATTCAATGAGACGTTGGTAATATAAATGGGACTCATTTAAAACAGTCCTACCTAAAATATTTTGTTGCTAATGTTGTCAACTGGACAAAGTACATTTTATGTACAGTTCAATTTATACTGAAAAGTCAAGACAAAACAGAACATGGGTGAGAAATGTCACACTTATGCATATAAACTTAAAACAGTTTTGAAAGCTATGGTTAAAGTAGATTATAACTGCTTTGCGATTAGGATTGGTACACTCCTTTTTAAAATATTTATTAATTTATTTGAAAGAGAGGAGAGAGAGAGAAAGAGAGAAAGCAGGGGGAGGGGCAGAGGGAGAGGGAGAGAGAAACCCAAGCTGACTCGGCACTGAGCACGGAGCCCAAAGCAGGGCTCCATCTCATGACCCTAAGATCAGGACCTGAACGGAAACCAAGAGTTGGAAGCTTAACTGACTGAGCCATCCAGGTGCCCCTGGATGGGTACACTCCTTTAAGATGTTCTATATATAAACATGAAGAAATTAGAGAAACAGCAATGCAGATGTTAGATGCTTAACAAAATAATCTATAACTGATCTTGTGAGAAAGGCTAATTTCCAATGTTATGAGCTCCTTATGAAATTTAGCACTGGCAGAAAAAATATTATAGAAGCAGTGATGGCCAGAGGATACTGTAAGTCTATTAATAGGTCAGGCTAAAATTCCTGAAAATAAGCTGATAATCTTCCTTGTAATCTAATCCTAATTGCTTGTGGGGTAGTCAAGTTCAATTAATTTTGCCTTCATTAAAAAAAAAGTATGTTAAGGAACAAAAAGATGCCCAATCAGATCACTCAGTCATTTAATCTTGGTGTTTTGGAGTTAATAATAATAGATTTAATTTCCAAATATTTTGGAGTGATTCTAATTGAACTCATACAGTCTTAGAGTCTTGAGAAATACAGAAAATAAATATAATTAATAAATCACCCTTATAAAATATGGGGCTTAGAGTAGTTTTAAGCACGTTACCAACAGCCTCTGCAAAGCCTCCATTTGTAAACCCCTTTTCACATCCTTTCTAAGAATGGAAATGTTAACTTAGTCACCTTATTTCCCTGAGGTCAGCAGCTATCAATTATAATTAGTTCCCAACTCCACAATACTTTAAAAAGGGTGGGGGGGAATCCAGTCCATATTTCAAATGTCTCTATTTTCTATGTAGCATCCTCAGCTACTAAAGATGGAGATTTTGATGCTGCACTTTGTTCTCAATAAGAGGTACTGATTATATACCCATCGTCCCACCACTATACACTGTGAACGAATTTACTCTTTCCTCCCAAAGACTGTCCAGTTGTCATTACATACTTCATTCCTGATTCATTCCTTTTCTGCACCAACTTACACTACCCACATCCCGAATCCTGCTATAAATTATTCAAAGTCCACCTTGCTTTAACTTCACCATATCTATATTCTCATTTATATCCACTCAGTCAGAAAATAAAATACCCCTCTTGAAAGAGTCCAGGGCCCTCATATCAGCTCTGAGTCTAGAGACTAAAGCCAGACTGTCTGGGTTCATATTTTGAGTCTACCATTTTCTATCATTGTTTTCTGGGGCAAGTTACTTAAATTTTCTGTACTTCAGTTACTTCACTTGTAAAATGAGGATAGTAATAGTATCTCATTTTATTGAGTATTAAATGAGCACATGTAAAACAGAACAGTGTCTGGTATATTATCAGCACTATATAAGAATTCTGCTGTCATTATTATTTGTTAATGATAATCTTTTCACCTTTGCTTAAGCCACTCCTTAACCAGGACTATTTCTCCCTTTTTTCCATCTGAAATGGAAATTCTTTAGTTTCCATTCCTTCCATCAATATTCCCTGACCATGCCAACTCATTCTGATCTTTCCCAAAGCACTTATTTATTGGCATATCATTTAGTTTGGCATTTCAGATTTTCTCATGAATGGGTAACAAGTTTCACAATCTAGACTGT